GAAAACTCGATTCGCAGGTACTATCTCGCAAATCCCAATGCACGTAACCAGTCAGAAAAAATAACTCACTCTCCGACGAATGCGGCGGCCAAAATAGATCAAGATCTCCCGGTTCGAGAACACCAACTGCTTTTATCGGCCGAGCATGTTTTCCATTCGTCGACAACTGGGAGAGGACGCCAAATTTTTGCATATCAAAATAATTTTATAGAGTCTCCTCTAACGGACTTGTTTTTAATCTAAATATTCCGTTTTCAGTGTGTCATGCGGAATACGTGCCCATTTTTTTGGTTCCCTTTCCGTCGTAGGGTACACGCGACGCGCTGTCGATTGGTTTGACCAGGTAAGTCGCCGTTTTCTTCGCTATAGAGAAAGCATTCTGCCTTCCAAAATTTTAAAAATAAAAACAATTCACTTTTCCAAACAATAACATTTCTTTCCTTTCCCGTCCACTTACGCCATCAACTCTTCTATATGTAGGTACGGTAAAATAAAATGCTCGTCTATATTTTATTTATTTAATATTGATTTTTGGGGTTTTTTTTTCTTTGAAGAAAGGATAAACAGAAGGACGGGGATCAGGATCAAGGTATCAGAAGATGTCGATTGACATTACACTTGAATATTTGAATATTATAGCTATCAGGGAAACAAGTAAGAGGAAGGGTATTCCACCGTCGGGAAGGGCGAGAGAAGAATCTGTTGGAGTAGAAGAGACAGTTACATTTAACCGTTTCGCCAGCGAAAGGGTGGTACTGAGATGTCAACCTAGTAGCAAACTTAAATTCATGAGGTTTGGAAACCGGTGAATGTAGCTCGTCAGAGCAGCTGCCACGAAAATACTAGTAAAAATGACAGAGGGAAGCCACATCACGTCTGTGAGAAAGTAACTGTAGACGAGATGACAGATCAGGACCCATCACACTGCATATCCGTCTCTGGAGTTTGTCTAGGACCTAGAGATGAACAGCGACGGCACCATACCATATATGGCAAAAGTCACGGTAGAGTAATGGATAGTAATATTGAGGAATCGGAGAGCCGAGTTCGAATTCCAGCCGAATCCATTACATTCATTTACGTGATAATTCACTTACTTGATAATTCACTTGGGAAAGCTATAAATCCTCTTCTTCTCCCTCCAGTTATGGGTAAATAGCAGGACAGACCGGGTTCTATAGCCTTGGATGCTAATACCCTTCGTAAATGTATGAATCGTCTTCTTCTCCCCCCAGCTATGGGTAAATAGCAGGACAGACCGGGTTCTATAGCCTTGGATTGCAACTGGTCTACTGCGAGGAAAAATCTGCCTCGTCACCTATTTGATTTAAAAGTTCAATTTATGCCACATTGACTGATAAACTCCTACAAAAAAAATCTCCATAATATTACCATATTAGTAAAAAAACGCACTCTCTTAAATGTTCAAAAAAAATTCAACCTTAGCGTTGCGACTGCATGCTCCAAAAGTTTGTATCCGTTAACAATAACACATAAAATAAATAAATAAATATTTCGATCCTCATTTAATTTTTTCGTCTCGGATGCTACCTGAATTTTACAAAAAACAAAAATTATTTCCATACCTGAGGATGACTGAATGTAGAGTCGAAAGTACTTGTGTATTAAAGAAAGACCTTATACAGTTTATAATTTTTAAAAACATGGATCATAATATTCATCGAATGATTGGTAGGTTAATGTACCTTTAAAATTTTGTTTGCGAAACGATTTCACCATTTTATATCATTAACTTTTGCTAATCTATCTACTTTTTGTATGAATGATTCATTTAATATATATATATATATATATATATATATATATATATATATATATATATATATATATACACCTAGTGAGCCAGACAAACTTTCCTGACGATCCGTTTAGGTGAAACCTAGGTAGGTTTGTCTGGCTCACTAGGTGTATCTAGGTCTGCTCTACGGTTGTATTGAGCTCTTTTGTTAGTTAGTTGTTACTCGTATCGGGTTTTTTCTTTGGGCTTCAGACCTGCATCTATGCTTTGATTTTTTTTGTCGGCAGAAGTTCATGTTTGTAGCTCTTTCTTTTTTAAAACCTTTTTTCCCTCGAGATTGATTTGATTAGCAAATCAAAAATTCGAGGTTTTTCAAAACGAGTCTAGTTATATCTATCATCTATCTATCTATCTATCTATATATATATATATATATATATATATATATATATATATATATATTATCAATGAAATAATGCGGGGGATGATGACCCTGAAAATAAAGAAATGATGTTAGTAGAACCCATCCACCCCACAAAAATAAGAGTGACCACTGTATTCTGGGTAAGGGATAAGGAGGACAGGGGTGTGATGATTGATGACATACCCAATTGAAAACCAGCAGCCTCAGGCCGAAATTCGGATTCTGTTTACCACGTTGGTAAACTTTCTGCTCAAATAACAATGGCGTTGCAGAATAATTTCATGTAAAAAGGGAGACGCCTTCAAACTGCGGAAAATACATTTCAAAACAATACATTTGAGAATCCGGAAGTCTTTAAGAGTATCATTTCGAGACGGAAAACAACGGAAGCAGACCGGATAGGCCTGTCCATAAGGATGCGAAAAACTTTCACCAGGGATTCTATACTGACAGGAAGCGTTATTTTTGGCTCCAGTGTATTAACAAAGAAAAGTAAATAAAAAAAAAATTACAAAAATAGCAATAATTTTTTAGTTTAACCCCTATTACATTTTGATTAAGGAGATTTGGATTACTTTTTTTTTATACACGAGATTTATCAAATACAAAGCCTGGAGACTTAGTCCAGCTATAGCTGGCCACTTGTATTCGAGGATATCTGTCTATTGGGGTACTTAGCCAATCCCAGGCGCATTTGTGTTTGTTCAACACCCACAGAGTCCACCTAGGGTTTATACTGCAACTATGCTGAGCAGACCTTTAGTTACAGTTTCTGGGGAAAAAGCGAATCAACAGTTTGAATAAGCTCAGCACGCTCGGCCACGATGACTTGCGATTAGACTAGCACAAATATCTATGACCCCCAAGGCTTCTGTCTACCCAATTTTCCTCACAAGGCTTGGGTTAACCCGTGGTATGTGTTATATAGGAATAAAGTGCTGCTGCCGAAACATGAGTTTGAGCATAGATCGCCAGTGAGCAAACAGAGGCGATCCCATTATTGAATTAAGTAGACCACGTGACCATAGAGGAAACGCATATATGGCAGGTAGCGTGTTTCTAACTGATCTCCATTTCTAGTCTATCCTCTATTACTATACCGAACGCTATTCTCTACTCTATTTTCTATACTATTTCTCGATTCGAGCGAGTATTCGGAGGCGGTAATGGATAGCGGCTCTGATTGAGGAATCGGAGAGCCGAGTTCGAATTCCAGTCGAATCAATTACATTCACTTACGTGCTAACACTCTTGGAAAATGTATGAATCCTCTTCTTCTCCTCCCCCATCTATGGGTAAATAGCTGACAGACCGGGTTATATATCATTGGGTGGAAACTGGTCTACTTACTGCGGAAAAAAATCTGCCTCGTCAGTCATGTATCGAAAGATATATGTTCTCACATAACTGACTATTAGTGCGTGTGTTATTCGAAGGCGTCTGACACCAGTAGTGTTCAACGGCGTTAGTATAGTTGTATCTGCGATTACAAAGTCTCTACTACAACGAGCCTTACGACAACGAGCATTACGAAAGTAATAAGTATAATTTTCAGGCACTTTCCAAAGTTGCTGCAAGCTGGGATCGAACGTTCCAATCCAGACAAATCGACCATGGTGAGATTCGAACAAGGGTCTCTTGGCCAGAATGAGAACGTTCTGACCACTCAGCCACGTGCACAATGTAGGCAACGTAGTTGAGCAGGGGAAACCCCGCCCACGACAGATGAGGTCACATACAACAGCTGAATATCATCTAGAAACCTTCCTGCTGCTTTCGGAAGTTTTCCATTTGTGTTGAATCTTTCGGATTTTCGAGGTTTTCGGTCAAGTTAGAAGGTTGATAAATGAGGTTCGTGACAGTAGTTTGAAGAAAATTAAGATTATGGGGACGAGGAGGATAGAGAGGATAGATAACAATTAAACCTTGACTTGAGTATTGGATTGTTCAGAGAAGCATTCCCGCGGGAGTCAGCTTTACAAAATGGCAGTTCTCGGTAAAAAAAAAAAAAAATCGGAATAAAAATTCCTTACATTTGGAATACGGGGAGAATGGGGGTGATAAGACTCCATGGAAGTAGTTCTACTGTAATGGTCTCAATTAGTGGAATTAAGGAATGAAACTTATCTGAAGATTCGCAATAGATTTGCGACTGTGGAGAAAGAGACTGCGGAGTGGGAAATAAATCGTTTCTCACAAGATCGCGTAAAAGATTTCGAAATATCAAGGCAGTTAGGGAAGGACATGACCATTCCATCCGACATATAAGAGCGATATTTCATGTTTGGTTTAATATGACAAGTGTAAATATAAAGCTTTGGACAAACAGTGGCGAACTTCCTGGGGTGATAAAATGCGCCGACAATCTTCTCAGCATCTTTAAAAATCGAAAGCATATGTGGGTTCTCCACAAACACAGTCGATTGCGATGAGATATGGAGTAAAACGGAAATCGAATAGACATTGAAAACATCGTTGATAATCCAACCGTTTACTGTGAATGGAGAAAATTATATTTTATAGTGTTTCTACAAAATTCATGTTCTTATCGATGAGGATTCTATAGACGTTGAAAACATCGTTGATAATGCAACCATGTATTGTGAACGTAGACCGTCACGGTGTTATTGTGGCTGTACAAAATACAAGGACTTATCGTTAAGGATGCTATTGACATTGAAAACATCTTTGATAACGACTACAAAATTTTGACTACAAAATTAAAGAGCTTTTCGGTGAAGATGATACAGACTTTCACCTCATCGTTGATAACTGAACCGCTTTATCATGGCTAGAATATTTTAGTTCTTTTCGGTGATGACGATGATTGTTGTTGATGAAATTTGTACAGTAATTTATGTTTGAATTTGTTCTTTCGTCACCTAGGTAACTTTTGTATTGATAACATATCAATTTCTAGTTTGAGAGCGTTAATTGATACTATAAATCACTTATACTTGCAATCAGAAGAAAAAAACATTTGAAATTTCTGGAGCATTTAATTAGAGTCTCGGAAAATTTAACACTCACAGGATATGCTGGAAGCAAGAAATACGGTAAGAAGCAATGAGTAACTTGTTTTGGGGGTTTCTTTTAAAATGTTAAAATAACATCAACCTGGCTAGAGATCTAAAATTCATTGTGAAAGAAAACGGTGTAGCGCGACAGGAATCGAACTTGAATCCCATTTTTTTCCTTCAGAGAAACCACTTACTTGACTTATTTTGTTTACATAAATTCTCCTGTTGGAATTTTGTTTTATGATAACTAAAAACGGATACACGTGTGAGCGACAAACAATGGCGCTATTTTCCCGCCAAAAAGTAAAAATGGGTTGAAAACAAGCTAAAAGGCGGGAAATGTGAGTGCACTTAACGGTAGATTTCCTATGCAATTCAAAATTACGCAGTGAAGCTCTACCACTCCTTATACTTTTCTGTCGATAAGGCTTTCTTTCAGCTTCCTTTCTTTAAACCATTACCGCCACCATTATCACCTTCCCTCACTTCCTCCTTCCCTCCAAAAGTGGCTCCTTTAACTCTCAATGAGAACAACTCTATACTTATGGTATGCATTTAATTTTATTTTATTTTTTCTTGCGAATAAAATTTGTTTTTTTTTAATTTTGTAGTACTCCAATTTGAGTATCCCTTATCCGAAATTCCAAAACCCGAATACCTCGAAAATCCGAAAATCTTACCACAAATATACCACTGGTATATATATATATATATATATATATATATATATATATATATATATATATATATATAAAGAAAGAACAATAAGATATATAATCCGGTGTTCTTATAGATATTTTATTTTTACAAAATAGTGTTCAATGTAAATTTACAGAGCATTAATATTATAAATTAATTGATTTAAAACATTTTTTTCGCTACACAGTTCTAACTATGTTTGAAACATGGTTAGAACTGTGTAGCAAAAAAATATTTTAAATCAATTAATTCATAATATATATATATATATATATATATATATATATATATATATATATATATATATATATAAGCTGTGTTAGGAAATGTAAAGGGATATCGTTTTATGATTGACGATTCTCAACCTGTATTTAATAATTTTTCTTTCTCTTTTTGTGCGTCCAGACCCCAAGAAAATGGTTGAAGTTAGCATCATCATAATATCTGCGTGAAAAAGAGAGGAAAAAAGTCGGATGTAACATAATAATATTTGAGTAATAACAAAGCATGCAAAAATGCATTTCTAAGAAAATACGAACATCTGAGTGCAGTAAATTCCGGTGTATAAGTTGACCACATGATTTTTAGCACAACATTCTGAGCTAGGCCTATACCTGCCGTATAGGTCGTCCTCCAAACATACGGTGGACTACCAGTGGGGCCTCATACTTAAGTCTACCGGTTAATGAAGTTAGTCTACAGTATACGACAACTGGAAGTGGACGGAAAGTGCGACACTGAGATCCGAAGACGTGATGGCTAAAGATTCCTTCCAAAAGTTAAGCAGAGTATTAGTAGACATGAAAAAATCGTTAGAAGCAAAGAAAACAGTACGAAACTATTACGTAATATATTTCATTCTGTATGGCAGCGAATACTGGACTATCTCCTCAAAGATGAAGAAGAGACTTGAAGCAATATGGTTCTACAGAAGGATGCTGAGAATACCATGGACCGAACATGTGAGCAACGACGAAGTTTTAGAGAAAATGGAAACAAAAAGGACACTTATACTTAAAATCGGGAAGAGAGAATACCATAGATGGAACATGAAGAAGAGACTTGAAGCGACAGAAATATGGTTCTACAGCAGCATACTGAGAATAGCATGGACCGAAAATGTGAGCAACAACTAGATTTTAAAGAGAATGGAAAGAAAAAGGAAACTTATACTTAACATCAGGAAGAAGCAGTTGAAATTTCTGGGCACGTAATGAGAAAAGAGGGTTTGGAAAATTTGATACTCACAGGACAGATTGAAGGCAAGAGCGACAGAAGAAAATAAAGCATACCATACTTGGTGAGCTTGGGTAAATGGATGGAAGAACAGGGTTTAGGAGAAACAACAAAAAGACAAAATTTATTAGAAGCTACAAAGGATCGGAAATTGTGGAGAGCCATGATTGCCTACATCCTGAAGTGATATGGCATAGAGAGAGAGTTCAGCAACCACATTTTTCTCTTGTCTTGACAGCATAATGTATTCTAATTACTTTGAACCCAGATGACAGCATCGATATTAAACATCAAGAAGAGTCAGTTAATATTTCTAGGGTGCATAATGAGGAAAGAAGGTTTGGAAAATTTGATACTCACAGGACAGATTGAAGGCAAGAGGGACAGAGGCAAATAATGCATAATGTATCTAGCTAGCTTGTGTAAATGGATGGCGGAACAAGGTTTAAGAGTAGTAACGAAAAGACAAAATTTATTAAGAGCTCAAAAAGACCGGAAATTGTGGAGAACCATGATCTGCTACGTCCTGAACGAACACGGAACATAGATGAAAAATGACGAGCTTTTGTACATGGACAGTGCGAGATGGTTTAAGAGAAATAACAAAAAGACAAAATTTATTAAGAGCTCAAAAGGACAGGAAATTGTGGAGAGCCATGATCTGCTACGTCCTGAACGAACACGGAACATAGATGAAAAATGACGAGCTTTTGTACATGGACAGTGCGAGATGGTTTAAGAGAAATAACAAAAAGACAAAATTTATTAAGACCTAAAAAGGACAGGAAATTGTGGAGAGCCATGATCTGCTACGTCCTGAACGAACACGGAACATAGATGAAAAATGACGAGCTTTTGTACATGTATAGTGACACAAGGTTTAGGAGAAATAACAAAATGACAAAATTTATTAAGAGCTAAAAAAGGCAGGAAATTGTGGAGAGCCATGATCTCCTACGTCCATAAAGAAGAGTTAATCATTAGAATATGCTTTTCCTCTTTATTTCTTTGTTTACACTTTACTCGCAAGACTATTATTAGTCATAACAATTGTTATTACCTGAAATGTAATTAATTAAATCACATACAATTTTCCATTAGAACCACTTCGGGTGTTAGTCTAACTTTTATATATAATTGCATTTAATTCTTTCTTTTCTACGCCTGTCTGTTCACTCCCAGTCGTGGTTTTATTATTACACTTTGCAAACTAGTGTAAGACTTCTACTATCTGTGCGTTTGTTGTAGCCAACAATTACTTGATTTTGGTTCCAGTCATTAATTTTATGGACAGATTTTCGCGCCCTGGCGTTGAAGTAGGCGCCAAATGAGGCAAAATGGCGTCGAGCGATATTTTATGTCACTTGAGTTCGTGTCCTCTCCTCCACTGGATTATAGTGTCGCTCACCAATTGACACTTTTAATAAAAGTCATCAGGAAAGAGAGTTGACAATTAAGCCGTGCTGTCGAAGTTAGATGGAGGGTAAGGGGTCCGTTTTCTGGTTAAGGTCTTTAAAGGGCGTGTCATTTATTAAAAAAAAAATTCTTCTTTTCGTTTTTCTTTTCTATCTCCAACTTGTTCTTGGTGTATATTTTCTTTTCTTTTCTTTTCTTTTCTTTTCTTTTCTTTCCATTCTTTACTTTTCTTTTCTTCCTTTCTTTTCTTTTCTTTTCTTTCTTTACTTTTCTTTTCTTCCTTTCTTTTCTTTTCTTTTCTTTCTTTCTTTTATTTTATTTTATTTTATTTCTTTTCTTTTCTTTTCTTTTCTTTTCTTTTCTTTCTTTCCTTTCTTTCCATTCTTTACTTTTATTTTCTTCCTTTCTTTTCTTTTCTTTTCTTTTCTTTCTTTCTTTTATTTTATTTTTTATTTTTTTCTTTTTTTTCTTTTTCTTTTCTTTCTTTTCTTTTTATTTTCTTTTTATTTTATTTCTTTTTTTTCTTTTCTTTTATTTTTATTTTTTTTATTTCTTTTCTTTTCTTTTCTTTTCTTTTCTTTCCTTTCTTTCCATTCTTTACTTTTATTTTCTTCCTTTCTTTTCTTTTCTTTTCTTTCTTTCTTTCTTTTATTTTATTTTATTTTATTTCTTTTCTTTTCTTTTCTTTATTTTCTTTTCTTTCTTTTCTTTTCTTTTCTTTCCTTTCTTTACTTTTCTTTTCTTTCTTTTCTTTTCTTTTCTTTTCTTTATTTTATTTTATTTTATTTTCTTTTTTCTTTTTTTTTCTTTTCTTTTTCCATTTCTTTTACTTTTTTTTTTCTTTTTTTTCTTTTCTTTTCTTTTTCTTTTCTTTTATTTTCTTTCTTTTCTTTTTCTTTTCTTTTTTTTATTTTATTTTATTTTTTTTTTTTTTTCTTTTTTTCTTTTTCTTTTCTTTTTTCTTTTCTTTTCTTTTTTTTATTTTATTTTCTTTTTCATTTTATTTTTTTTTTTTTTCTTTTTTTTCTTTTCTTTCTTTTCTTTTTCTTTCTTTTTCTTTTCTTTTTTTTCTTTCTTTTCTTTTCTTTTCTTTCTTTTCTTTTCTTTGCTTTGCTGTATTTTCTTTTCTTTCTTTTCTTTTCTTTTATTTCTTTTCTTTTATTTTCTTTTCATTTCTTTTCTTTCTCACGTGAATCATTTGTGCAGATTGTATTCTTCCTTTGTTTTATTTCTATATTTATATATTTTCTGTTTTACTTTTCTGTCTATTTTTTTCTCTTTTTTCTTCTTTCGAAGTCTTTATTTCACTGTTTCTTTCTTGTGTATCTTTCTTTCTTTTTTGTTTTCCTTCTAAGTCTTTCCTTATCGCAACGTATTTTTCTTTCATTTTTTCTTTCTTTCTTTGTTTCTCTATTTCTTTCTTTCTTTCTTTCACTGTATTTCTTTGCTTCTTTTCTTTTCTTTGCTGTGTGTCTGTTTCTTTCCTTTTTCCTATGATTTTCTTCAGAAGATTGTCTTTCTTTCTATCTTTCTTTCTTTCTTTCATTCATAGTCTTTATTTATCGTACTTTCTTCGTTCTTCCTTTCACTATGTGTCTTTGTTTCTTTTTTCTTTTCTTTCCTCATCAGATTTTCTTTCTTTCTTCTTTTTTCCTAAGTCTTTCTGTTTTCTTTTCTTTCTAAGTCTTTCTTTATTAAATTATATTTCTTTCTTTCTTTTTTCTTTCTTTCTTTCTTTCTTTCTTTCTTTCTTTCTTTCTTTCTTTTCTTTCTAAGTCTTTCTTTATTAAATTATATTTCTTTCTTTCTTTCTTTCTTTCTTTTTTTCTTAGTCTTTCTTTTTTCTTTTCTATCTAAGTCTTTCTTTATCACTTTGAGTTTCTTTCTTTCTTTTTCCCTGTTCCTTTCTTTCTAAATCTTTCTTTATCTCGCTATATTTCATCCTTTTTTTTCTTTATCTCTCGTTATTCCTATCTTTCTGGCTTACGGCCATATCACGTTGAAACACCATTTCTCGTATGATCACCGAAGTTAAGCAACGTTGATCCTGGTCAGTACCTAGATGGGTAACCGTTTGGGAATATGAGGTGCTCTAAGCTTGGATATGCGGATGGTGTAATGGAATCGGAGATCAGAGAACCATGTTCCAGTTGGGTTCATTTACGCGTAAATACCCTTGAGAAATCCTCCTCGTCCTCCTTCCGGCACTGGTAAATAAGCTAGAATTATTTACCTCGTCTCTCCACTGAGACGCGATGTGAGAAAAGGTCGGGTTTATTGCGGCAACCCGAGTGCATGCACTCGGGCTAGGGACAAAAATCCCCCAAGAGCCCGCAACCGTCGCTTGAGCTGGCCTCGATCCCGCTCTCTAGCGCAATGACAGGTTGCAACCTCGGACAGCTGTCCCCCAAGTGCTGGGCACATCGCAGTATTTATTTACCTCGGTTGAAGCTCTGACCGCTAACATAGGCCACAACTGAGTCGCACTCATTGAAGACAGAGACGCAACTACTCGGCATGTGCCAGGTTAATATTAATTTTCTAAGCGTTGCTTATGTATGACATAAGGTCGAATGTGTGGTGGAAGCATGTAGGATTGAACTCACTACTCAGTCATAACTGATCTAATGAGACAAGCTTGTTAACTATTACACCCCTGCTTTAATGAATGTATATGCTGATTTTCTAAGCCTAATGCGACACAAGTGAGGATCGAAACCAATTGAAGATCTAAATCACTATCCAGTCGAGAAACGCTTGCTAACCATATCGAAGTACCCTCCAAAATGTATGCTGGGAAATAGGCTAGTATGCTTGCGCCATTGATCGCCGTAGGCTAAGAACTGCCTCGTTATGGTAACTACCAATTTCTAGTTGAAAGAATACACATTATAATGTGGTACTACAGTTATAAAATGTAATTGATACTTTACTTTTTGATTTCATATTAAAAGGTTGTATTCAAGAGACGATTAAACAACAATTTGCAAAGGTTCCGCTGAGCAACACACAAACATGTAACAAGTATCGTAAACAAATCTTACTTTCTTGATTTGATTTTATATGAAATATGAAAAGATTGAATCATGTCAAGAAACTAAGTAACAAGCTAGATATATGAACGGACTGAGAGAGATATCTTTTCTGGAGAGGTGAGTAAAATAATTTGACCTGAAAGAAAGAACTCATCATTTACAAAAACCTAATCTTAAATTTTCTAGTGTATCGGCACTGGTAAATAGGATAGGCTGTGTGGTGTGTCTGTGAGTGTTGCCGAAAATCCACTATCTTTTACGGCTGTTTCATAATTTTTCTTGGCTTCGTTGAAGATGATTTCACAGGAAGAATTGTCAGATAACCAGCGGTTAATTGATTATGGGATCTGCTTGATTATTAATAGCGGGGTCTGGAAGATGAGTGTATCCAAACCACCCGCGATCAATAATCAGAAATTAATTATCTAATAACATCAGTTACAAAAAGCAAACCTTAAATCCTCTGGTGTATTGGCACTGGTAAGTAGGCAAGTATACTTGCGCCATTGATCGCGATAGGCTAACAACTGCTTCGGTACGGTAACTATCGATGTAAATATTTTTAGTTGAAAGAATTCACATTATAATGCTGTACTGCAGTTATAAAATGTAATAAAACTACTTTTACTTCTTGATTTCATATTAATATGAAATATTCAAGAGACGATTACGCAACGATTTGCAAAAGTTCCGCTGAGCAACACGCAAAAGTAACGTAAACAAATCTTTCGTTCTTGATTTGTAGAGCTGTCTGCGTTCACACCAATCATTATTTCTCATAGTAGTGTTAAATAACAACATTTAGGATAACATACAATGAATATTTCTAATTAAAATTCATTAGCGTTGTGATGTTAAATAACAACAACATTTAGTATATAACCAGTATATAACTTTATTTTTCAATAACGTAGAATATATATATATATATATATATATATATATATATATATATATATATATATATATATATATTATGGATATTAAAATATATTTAAAATCGTTACAAAATGACAATTATAATACACCACTACATATAGAGTATTTTATTTTGCGGTATTAAGCAAAAAAACATTTAAGATGTCATAAAATCTTTATTTCTCATTACAGAATAAAAAAAAATAAAAAAAATACACATACATAATTAAAACCCTTCAAAATTATTAGGATCATCACCATCTAATGCAAAGTCATCTAGGTCCAACTAGGTCGTCTTATACAACGGATACCAGATAAAATCACGAGGATTTAGGCAGATATTGAATCTCGTCATAGGTCGCCTTATACGTGGAAATATAAGGCATATATATATATATATATATATATATATATATATATATATATATATATATATATATGAAGAAAAATATACGGAAAAAACAAACTGAAATCCTAATATGCAATTATGCTGGTTTGATGTTAATATAATGTCAACATCGGACGTTTCGGTCTAATAGACCATCTTCAGGACATATTCATAAAACATAATTAACATTAGACCATATTCAATTCAACATGATCTTATGTCCATCGTCTTTTTCATGTTTAATTGATAAACATTTCCCTAAAAGTAACCCTCTTAGTAAAATATTTAATAGAAAGGCACTAAAACTAAATTATAGTTGCACCGATAATCTTAAGAAAACTATAAAGAAGCATAATAATAAAATTTCAAACTAATTTTAAGATTTGGGTAGTAATGCACATCCTAAGTTAAATATTCTTAATAATATTAACCAATGTAATTGCAAGGATTCTAACGGATATTTAGCAACCTCTCTTGTTTAGCTAAGTACTATTTCTACAGTAGAGGATTGAAAAAAAATTTATTGGCAGTACTAAGAATTCTTTTAAGTCTCAGTGGTATCAAAATATCTTATCCTTCACGAACAGTACTTATTAATATAGTACATCTCTTTCTAAAAGATTTTTGTAATTTAAAAGAAGCTAATAAATCTAAGGTAAAATGGGAAATTTAAAAAAAGTTAGAACATGTAAATCTTTAAATGATCCCTGTTTTCTATGTTTACATGAAAAATTAGAAATTATCAGATTTTCTGATAAAAACTCCTTATTAAACAAAGAAGTGAATTGACTGTAAATTGTAGCCATAGCCTACTTTTACCTTACAATGTTTAATACTTTTTCTTATCATAATAAGCAGTAGATGAACTGTTGTGCTCTTTATACTGCTTACTATTCTATTTGTATGATTCATTTTGATTTAACATTGATTTATATTGATAATTGGTTCGTATTATTAACCTCACATGTGGATGTACAGGTGTTTAGTTAGTACTGTTAACATTTTACATTGATTAGTTTGTATTAATAACACCTTATGTTAATGCTCATTATTTAACGATTGCATATTAATTTGCCAAAGTAGTTCTGTATTTTGATCCGTTTTTTTTAGTGTTATTTAAACAGGCCTTTTATTTATCAAATACAAAATTTTATGTAAGAAGTTGAATGAACACATAACGAGTTAACATTCTGTTTAATTACCTTCCCGTCTCTTTCGCTTTTCCTTCTTAGGAAAGTTGAACGTCAGACTTCGATACATCTGTATACAACGTGTATCTGTCGTTAAGAAAATTGCCTAGGATTTATATGCAGACAGCTTCGGATCATGACCTATATTAAATCATTTTTTTGATGAATTTTAAATTAGTGATGGTCACATATGATTATTTAACCACGGCAAAGGCCACAAGGCTATTTTTAAAGGATTCTGCTTTTGAAATTAAATTAATCTTTCATTCGCCAGTAGTTTAACATCGACCGAGGAAAACATTTGTATCGGTGAAATATAATTGCCATTATGTAACGATTTTTAACATATTTTAATATCCTAACATATATATATATATATATATATATATATATATATATATATATATATATAATCTACATTAATTATCTACATTTAATTACAAAATATAAAATTAGCGTACAAACAGAAAATATATTAAATAACTGTCGGACTTAATCCATTTCATAATATATATATATATATATATATATATATAACTCGTATACACGTATTCTGCGTCTCGTATACGCGAGTTAGCCGTTGCTTTGAAACTTTTCATGCAACAAAAACAGACTGTCATTATTGTTTCGTCCGTGTATTGTTTGATATATTGAAAAGTAATTGTCATCTTTGATAATGGCTTATGTAAGCCGAAAGCTTAGATTGGATTTAAACATGAGTCAATATGGCGATTTCCTTTCGTCTTTCAATGATAATGTTATTAAGCTTATTAGACAATATGAAAGGAACTTACTTAAAATAAATAGACAAAACTTGTCTATATTATTTAATGAAACATGCATCAATATATATATATATATATATATATATATATATATATATATATATATATATATATATAATAAGTGTCGAGCTTAATCCATTTCATAATATATATATTATGTATGTATCACTTTTTTTTTTTTTCTTAAGCCCATTGATTGTTTCTGTCCTTCGTATTTTTTCGAGCGACTCTCTCCTTTCACCCTCATAGCTTTCAAGCCCAAATAATTTATCCGCCACACCCACTTATAATCTCACTGACCACACTTCAACCGTGTAATCCAAGAGCCTCTTCTCACTAAACACGTGATGCGATACAATGCGGCCAAGCACGTCTCATGAATACAGTCCCCTAATTTGGACACGTATGAATTACAAACTGAGCGACCGGACACTGTATCTAACCATTAAGGCGATTATTAGACTGGACATCTAGTTCGTGAGTAAAGGCGGACAACATGGGAGAGCATTGCTCGCGTGCAACACGGAGAACGCAATCTGAATTTTCTGATAATGAGATTAGGATGACAAATTCACACCTGACCGATAGATAAGAGACTTCGCTAGACGAAAGAATCTCACATCAAAAGGTATGTATGCGAACAAAAACTAGTGTGGGTAAGTACACTGTGCGTGTACGGGCGATGGGTGTGACTTGTCCGGAGGATTGGCATAGCGTTTGGAATTTTCATCACAGAGTCTGCGGTGTGTGCACAAGTGCGCCTCTTGTCCAATAAA